ATATATATATATATATATATATATAAATTATTTTTATTTATTTATTATTTTTTTTTCATTATTTTGGGGGCGCACAGTCTGTCTTTCTCTCATCGCATTTAATTCAGACCGTTTAATTTGGAAGTTCTATGCTATGGTAACCATCAATGGAACTGCACATCATAAATATTTTAATTCTGAATAAATTAGGGTTGTCAATAGATTCAAATTAATTGGATTAATCACACCCTTTTTGTGTGATTAATTGTGATTAATACAGTACACGGATCCATTCAGAATGACTAAATACAGCATGCACATGACAAATCAAACACATCCTGAATGTGTTTGGAAAACGTGAATGTACTGAAATGTGTCTTTGCGTAAATACAATGTATGATCTGTGCATCAAGAGTGCTCATACACTGTTTGTTTGTGCATCAATATATCAGACTCACACGTGTTTACTGTACAACCCCTGTACGGTTCAGAATAGAAATTGTTCTTCAGTAATTTTGCGTTAATTGCATTAAATTATTTTAACACGTTAAGGATTTTTGAATTAATGTCATGCGTTTACACGTTAACGTTGTCAGCCCTAGAATAAATATTATATTTGTTGGCATATATATATATTATTTTAATTTTATCATATTTTTCTAGAAAATAAATTGGATCAGGTCAAAATTTGCAAGTTGAAAGAAAATGACAGATACGTTGTATCAGTTTATTATTATTTTCAGAAATAATGTAAAATACTGAAATTAAATGAAATGCTTAACTTTTATAAACGCACTGATTGACAATGATTCAGGGGACCTGTTATCACATCTTAAATAAATGCATGGTTGCAAGCTAAAAATTCTAACTTAATAATTTAATTAAAACTTTGTTGCAAACATTTTGTTGAGTTCAGTTGACAATGTCGATCATTACATTAACTTAATAATTTGCGCAATTTAAACTCAAATTTGGGCGTTAATTGAATTAAATTAAGTTGTTGTAACTCAATAAAATTGTCTTGTTAACTTTGGAAATTGGGTAGTGGATTTCTAGTTCCCAGCATGCTTTGCATAGAACTGGATAAGGAGATGCTGAAATGAAGTGTTATTGTATGAGGTTTTTTTTAGTGAAGGGAAAGACCTGTTAGCATGTAATGCTGTTATGTTTGACATTTAAAAGTTTCTGTTATGTTGAAGTTTTTGTGGTTACCATTGTGCTGAAGAGTAGAGCACATGAAGGTAAACACTACATTGACTCTATTAGCAATGACCGCTCTAATGCCAGTGACAAGAAACATCTTACTTGTTCATTAAATATGCATACTAAAGCATGTGCTATGATAGCTGTGGATTTGAACTGAAAAAAGATCATATAAATTGTTTCCAGGCCCACAAATCCATTAGTTGGTGCAACTTAAAAGTGTGTTTGTTACAAATTAAGTTCTTCTAACTCATTGTAAGGCAAGGCACATTTATTTATATAGCACATTTCGTACACGATGGTAATTCAAAGTGTTTACAATAAAATAAAGTAAAATAGTAAAAAAAAAATAATAATCACAAAAATAAAACAAGGAATTTAAAAACTTTGAAGATAATATAGTGCAATCAGTTCGGACATTGCACAGTGCTCATTCAATAAATGCATAGCTAAACAGATGAGTTTTGAGTCTAGATGTGAATGTGACTAATGTTTTAGCACCCCTGATCTCTTCTGGAAGCGGATTCCAACTGCGGGCGGCAAAATAGCTAAAAGCAAATTCCCCTTGTTTTGCGTGAACCCTTGGTATTTCTAACTGACTCGATCCTAATGATCTGAGTGGTCTGTTAGGTTTATATTCAGTGAGCATATCTGCAATGTATTTAGGTCCTAGGCCATTGAGTGATTTATAAACAAGTAAAAGTACTTTAAAATCAAATTCTAACTCATTGTAGTTTGTTGGTTGAACTTCATTTCATTAGAAGTCGTCATAACTCAAAACAATTGATGCAAACTTGTAAGTTTTTTTATTATTATTATTTATTTATTTTTTGAGCTAACACGTTTTTTGTACTATATAGTGTACTTTAGACTTTTTTTCTCATCACTCTACAACAAATCCTTTAAATTGAACAGTATTCAGAACAGGACAGAAATATATAAGTGGCCTATAAACCAAACTAATGTATAGTAACATTCATTATAAACATTTATTATAAATTCCAAGCCTAAACTAATTTATTTATAGCAAAACCGAAATGACCAGCGTAAAATCGGCACTAATCTACATGTGCTTGACGGTGATTGCATTACTTTGCTTTGGCATGTCACAGCATGTTCCAGATGATTAAAAAATGCAACTTTATATTCTGGAAAATATGCTGTATATATTAGTATTATAATTGATATTCAGTTATATTTAAATAATTATTTATACAATTTAATTTCAATTATATTACTTTCTTATTTAAATATTTATTCAAATCTAAAATATGATTCATTTTATATAATTTTTTTCTCAATGAGAACCAATTTTTTTTTCTTCTCCCCTCAACCCTAATCTTGATGTACTCTGTCACTGTGTGTGGGCTGCTTTGTTAATGACTTCTTTTTTGTGTCTTTCAGGCATCCTGCTGATGATGTCCTTGTGTGAAGAGGTTCACGTGTATGAGTACATTCCTTCACTGCGACAGACGGACCTGTGCCACTACCACGAGCGTTACTACGACGCCGCCTGCACTCTGGGTGCGTACCATCCCCTGCTCTACGAGAAGATGCTCATCCAGCGCATGAACGTCGGCTCAGAGGACGACCTCAAACGGAAAGGCAAGGTCACGCTCCCCGGATTCAAGAACGTCCACTGTGAGCCCTGAACAGAAAGATGCAATAATGGCCTTTGTAAAGCAGAAGAGATCTGCAGACTGACGCAGGAGCGCACCGAGACGGTTCAGAACGGACCGTGTTGTATAGACTATAGATGGTGTTCTGCGGGACAAAACCTTCTGCTGTAGTTCACTCAAAAATGCATTTCCTGAGCCTAAGCTTAAATAAAGCTGGTCAGAACAGCAATAGATACGTCATAAGGAAAGGTTTTTTGATTTGTGAATGTTTGTGGTGGCAAAAGCCCATTAAAACAAGTGTTTTTTTTTTATTTTATTTTATTATTTTAAATGGAACTCTGTTTTTCACAGGGTTTTAAAGTATCCGCAGTCATAGACACTGAAAGCTACACTGTCGAGGAAAAAAAGCATTCACATAAATGCATTTTAGCACTAAGGCTAAATTTATGCTCTGACTAAAAATGAGCTTTATTGATCTGTCTGCAGATTTTTTTCGCATACTGACAGATTTAAAGCTTCTCGCCATAATGTTGTGATTGTTTTTTTTAGGTGTCATTTTCTGCTGTAATACACATTGTGCCACACTTATAAGCCTCTTTGCGAATATTTTGCTCTTCCAGAACGTCTCGCTGAACTGTGGCAAATTAATCAATAGTTTTTTCCTACTCCGTATAAATGTTCCTTCAAAAGCAGAGTGCTTACATGCACCTGTTATTGAATGTGACCTTGGTTCATTTAATTCTCTTCTAGTCATTTTATACTTTGAAAAACCTGTCAAGACAGGTAGTTTACAGAAAATAGTTGTCATTGAATAGGATTTAATTGCTTGTACTATGGACTCATTGCAGCACTGTAAATCGTATTTGGGACTTTAAGGCTGCTGGCAATATAACAAGTACAGTGGGGATATTATTTGTTAAATATAAACCAAGGTTTTTAATGTCTTGTAGCCCCTAAAATCAAGAGGTTTCTTGACTCCAGCTGGAGTCGTCTTTAAAAGCGAATGAGTTTCCAGTGCATCTTTGCGTCGTCTTCGCTTTAAATGAACAACTGTACATTTAAGAGATTCACTTTGTGGTTTGACTTTTCTACAGGAGGTAAAACTTGAAGGTTTGTTATTTACTTGCGTGCATTGTTTCAATGTGTGCCAGTTGAATTAAGACGGAACACTTTCGCAGGCTGATTTTTCTGTCGATCTGGTGAGGAGAGCTAACGTCTGTTTTAATCGCTGTTGTATATTGTAGAAGTAAAACTAGTAATTGATTTCACTCAGGAGCTCATGATACTCTGAAGCTGCGGCTCTCCTATAAGTCTTATGATAGGCAGAGATGTGTCAAGCTAATATTTGACCTTTACTCGGTCCTGTTTCCTCATGTTGGGGGGTTGTAGATGTAGAGAAACTGAAGAGTAAGTTGTTGTTTTTTTGTTTTTACAAATTTTGTAAATTTTACAAAATTAGGTTTGGATGTAAAATTTCATGACAAGTTTAGAGCAACTGAACCTGAAGTGTCATCTTCTCAATATGACTCGTTGGGCTGGCTATGGTTGTCTGGCATGTGACCAGTCCAGCGCACTTGCCGCCAGTCGGTGACAGTCGGATTATTAAATAGGTTTTTTTGGCCTTTTTCCCATTTTATTTTTTATTTTTTCATCAACTTGGTAATGGAAATTAAATGACAGTGGGAGCGCATATAAACAAAGACTATAGAATACCCAAGACGTGTCACATGGAAAAATGCAACGCTCAATATGGCCGCTCAATCGCAGGAAGACCCGCCTTCTGATTGAAAGAGCCAATCGCTAATCAGTAAAGTCAGCGCGTCACTGCAGCTGCCGTTAGAAGTCCCGGTTGCTATAGAAACAGTCAGCATTCTGAGACGTGCTCTTAGGACTGTGCATGTGCACTGGCTGATCTAGCCTGAAAAATGAGCTTTTTATAACGCTATTTGAGCAAAAGTAAAAACATTTATGACACAGTTATGTTTCTTTGGTGATTTCAAATATGAAATTTAATCGTAAGCTTGGTGAACAGTTTTGGAGAATTTGATGTTTCCCCATTCAAAGAGATAGGAGTTGCACTTGCATGCCCGAGCGGCGTTTCAAAGATGGCCGCCGAGTGACATGACTTGTCTTAAAAGGACTTTGATATAAACTAGCTACCATTGAAACATTTGGGGTCATTCCTTTTTTTATGTTTGGAAACAATTTTCTCTTATGCTCACCAAGGCTGCATTTATTTGCTCAAAAATACAGTAAAACCGTAATATTGTGAAATTATTACAATTTAAAATGAGTGTTTTCTAATTTATTATATTTTAAAATGTCATTTTTTCCCTTCATTCGCAAAGCTGAATTTTCAGCAGTTACGCCAGACATCAGTGTCACATGATCCTTCAGAAATCATTCTAACATGCTGATTAGGTGTTCAAATAAACATTTCTTATTATCAGTATTTAAAACCGCTGTGCTGCTTAATATTTTTGCAGAAAGCATAATAGGATTCTTTGAATATAATGTTCAAAAGAACAGCATTTATTTGAAATAAAAATATTTTGTGACTGTGTTTGTTTTTACTGACTTTTGATCAATTGAATGCATTCTTGCTGATTATAAGTATCAGATTCTCTGTACGCCAACTTTCAGGCCAATTGTTTATCAATGTGGTGGCCAAATGGTCATGTGAAACTATGGAGTGACTAAAACCGTCTGCTACTTTCTCTTTAGGCTTTTTCGCGCTCTACGATCAGAGGCAGAGGTGTGTGTCCTTCCTCTGTGAATGTATTTTCCTAAGCCTTTAACAAGAGGTGTTTTAGCGGAATAAACCCCGTCCCTGTTTCTCACTGACAAGAGACATGGTGACTGGAGATATGGCCGTTTTAAGAGTATTATTTGAAGTGTTCACTGTAAATTGTTTTGTTTTTTAATGTGTTGGGTGATATGACTACTTTCGGGGAGGGGGGGAGGGTGTACATTATGGTGCACAGAGCATGTGACACAAAGCAGTGCTTGTTGGTATTCATGGTAAATAACTTTACAGTTCTAGAAATGTTAGGATTTAGCCCAGGGTGTCAAACTCAGCTCCTAGATCGCCACAGTCCTGCCGAGCTTAGCTCCAACCTGCTCCAACACCCCAATCTTTAGTTTAAGCAATCTTAAAGAACTTGATTAGCTGGTAGAGTTGGAGCTAAACTCTTTTGGGCTGTGGCCCTTCAGGGACCAAGTTTGACACTCCTGATTGAGCCTATAATGGGAAATGTGAGCCGAGTCTCTAGGTTTAGGTCTGTTTTGAGTACTTTTGATATGACCTTTTGAAAAGAGGAAATGGAGGTGATTTCATTGGCGAACATCAATGCTGTGGATGTGCACGGTACAATTCAGAAGACTGTGCCAAATGTGCTGTTTTCCTGTGTGTGTGAGAGAGAGAATGTTTGAATGGTACTCAATTTGTGGTGCTGTGTATCTGTGCCAACTTTCCTTTTCACATCTTTTAAATTAATTTTCCTTTCCCTTCTATACCTTTCCTTTTCTCCTTCTATACATTTAACAAATTTCCTTTAAATTTCAGATATTTTTTTCCCTTTTTTTCTTTCTGTAATTCTGCACTACATTCTTTTATTTGTTTTTCCCCTGCTAATGTTATGTCTGTGAAAAAGTATTGATCTTTATATTGTAAATATGTGCAATTGTCTATTACAGGCCAGTTCATTTTCAAAAGCCATGGGACGTTTTAAAAGGTTTATTTTTCCATATGTTAATATACATTTGTCATTGAATTAATTTCTAAACCACTAAATGTTTGTGTAGTCTTTTGACCATTGTTTGTATAATAAAACATTGACCTTTACTTGACCCAGTAACACAACCTGCCAATTTCTTGTCTCTCTTTTTTTTTTCTTTTTTTTTTTATGCTGTCATTATTATAGTAAATACATGTAACATGTAAATGTTAAAATTAAAATGCAAAAAAACAAAGATATAATCTGAAATTATATTTCTTTTCCCCTCTCAATAACTGTTGTTTTGAATTAAAGAACACCGTTTTTGAAACTTCAAAAATCAGAAAGTGTATCATGGTTAATTTAAAATATAAATGCTCCCGATTTTTCTTAAGAAGTTTGAAAGCAATCAGCTTGGTCATAATTACAGAAGAAAACTTTTATACATGCATATCAACCTTAGCATATGAAATGGATATGATTTAGTTGGTGCCATTACCTGTTTGTTCATCAGGATGTATATGAGCAGGTTGATGACTGTGCTGCTCTTGGCGAGGAGAGAGGGCACCACGCTGGCCACCGGCGAGATGATTCCTGGCCGGCCAAATGTAGCCATCATGGCCACGACACCGTACGGCATCCAGCACAGAAGGTAACACACCACGGTGGTGATAACCATGAACAAAACATGGTATTCCCGTTTCCACGCTGCTGTCTTGCGTATCTTCCCTACCTGAGACAGAGAGAGACAGGGACGTTTACTGTATATATGAGTATAGTTAATATTTATTTAATGGTCTTTTTTTTTTGTCAATTCATCTGTGAAAATTGTTGCAGATAAAATGTTTATCTTTAGAATTTTTATATCACAGGGCTCTTAAATGCTTGATTCTGATTGGTTATTGAACATTCTAAACTGTGAAATTGAGTGCTGCAGGGATTTTCGTAGGCCATCATCCTGAAGTCAATGGGTTTTTTGAACAGGTTATTGGTTAAACGCCGAAAATAAGGTCTTTGGTCAATACAAGCTCAAGATATGTTTTATTCTGTGACATAAAATACATCAGTAATATCTCCTTGTGGTATTTATTTATTAGGTTTTATTTGTCTTAAAAAAGGTGGTTGCTCACAAGTGGCTAACTTAAATGGGACTACCGAGATTTTCAGGGACATTAAACATAAGGCCAAACAGGTAAACTCATCTACACACCAGTCACTTTTACAGCCTTGTTCATAATTACACTTACAAACTATTCTAACTCGAGCTTTCAGGGAATATATACAGTGTGT